TGCATGAGTGGTGCATCCAGCATTTCCCGATTATGTAAAAACACCGTCCAAAAAACAGATTTCGCTGAAAGTGACTTCATTCGACTCTCCATTCAAGTTTGAGCTGACGAAATGTTTTTAGGCCGAGAGGCTGCAAGATTAAGTTTTGATTAAACGTACCTGCTGTGTTAGCTTAACAAGGAAAAATCTAGTATTTGAGTTTGTGCGCCACCATATAGGGTACGCTCTTTTCGATCGACATACCATTCGATAAAGAATCAAAAACTGAACAAAACGAACGATCGATTCTTTTCTACGGTTCTATTTTGTCAGCAAAAAATCGAAATACTCAGTTTTTAATTTTTAAAAAATATGATCTTTTCTGCTAAAAGACGAATTAGAATCCTAAATCGAACCAGAGAGCTTCAAAACTAGCTTGAGTTTGTATAGTGGACAATTCTGCACAAGATGCATCTGTTTGAGAATTTTAAAGGTTTCGGCAGACATTGGAAAATGTGATAGAAAGTAGGCGGGTAGATCAAAAATTTGATAAAAGCTGACTAGTAAACTCAGTTTTATCGGTCAAACATTGACTTTAGACAAAAACAAACACAGTGTTCGGAATCAGCACAAAAAATATGTCTTTTTAAGTTTCTACAAAATAGTTCGTGAAGGTCGAAGTCTCTCAGGGACGTTATTTCTGAGAAAACTTTTTCCCAATTTTTTAGTTTTTAACAATTCTAAAAAGTATTCTTTAGCAAAATTGTTTAATATTATGGACTGGTGCCCTCGTTTTAGCCGTTTATTGGTTCATTCTAATTTCGAAAAATTAAGCCCTGATGGAAGATGAATTTTGTCAGTCAATTCATTTCGGTGTCATGTCGGAAAGCAGCAGTTATTTCATACATGCCAAAATGATTTTTATTAGAGAGAAGGCTATGGGAGACGTGTATTCGAGTGACGATACTTTGATTCACGAAATCTTTATTTATATACTTGAAGAAATTTTCAAAGAAACGAAAACTGTGAACTTGTATTTTTTCAACTTGAGATTCACCCTAAACTGTCTTATTTCAACTTCTCGATCAGCATGTACTCAATGCGTGTTCATGACCTAACTGATCAAGCGATAAGATATTAGAGCTACCGGAAACTGGTCAACTGAGACTTTCGTCACCTATACTTTCGACGTTGACTAAAGTTTTCTGACTCTGGCCAATAACCAAAGTTTTGTTTGAGTTTCGGCAATTGACCAAAGTTTTGTGTAACTTCCGTCAACTGACTAAACAAGGTTATCACGGATGAGGCTGGCCTGAAGCTGTACTTTTGTCGTGACATACAGATCTTTAACAAAGTTGAAAAAGATGCTCTTTTCCGGCAAATTTTAGTCAATTCTTGAACATAGAACCACAGTCTCATCAGTGATCGAAGTAAGGTGAATTTTGGTCAGCTGGTGAAAGCCAGACAAAACTTCGGTCAATTGACAAAAGTCACATAAAGCTTTGGTCAATTGACGAGAGTCAGACAAAACTTTAGTCAGTGACGAAGGTGTAGGTGACGAAAGTCTCAGTTGATCAGTTTCCGATTTCCCAGATATTATGCTTTCTCTTGCGATATCACTTTAGAAAATTTGGTGCTCGCTCCGCACAGAACCAAATTAAATAATAATTGGGTGCTAGATGCAAAATTCCTTGGTAAATCCGACAGCGGGTTCCTTTTAATTTCATTTTGACTTCTTCTTTTGCGCATTTTTGCCTAAACTTTATTTTTAAACCGAGCAATCGCCGATATATCGCCATAAAGGCGTTGATAATGATACATATCACGATATCATCATTGTTTTTCGCGATAAATTCTACATCGCGATCTATCAGACGGTTGCGATAGATCGCGAAGTAAGTTATTACTGCGTTATTTTTATGATTTATCACGATACAAACCAATGTTTCGTTCGGCCGCGATAGATATTTATCGATCAACATCGCGATACTGATTCGTATCGCGTTAAATTGTAGAAATATCCGAATAGAGGAAATAGTTAGATAAATCGTAATGCCTTTTTATCGGGATGTATCACGATATGCATCAAGTTCGCGATATCCTACTGTTTATCACAATACAGAGGAAGACGTCGAAAAGGCGCACTGATTTTTTTACAGTGAACGATAGGAAACGGTAAAAAACGTAATTATTCTCGTTATTTTTTAAGTATTCATTTTTTATTTATTTTTTAAGTTCAAGTGTCACTTCGCACACTTATCACGGTTTATGTTTCTTTTCTATTTCGACTGAAGACTGATGAATTATAGTCAAAAAAAGCTTTTTTAAGAGTATACGTCCTTCCTTTTTTTAACATGAAACAAGTCCATTAATAAACTCTCTTGTATTACTGGTTTTGTTGCATTAGATTCAACCGCCAACGCTTTTGAGTTACAATTGTTATTATGTCCCTATTGAAACCAATGTTGAGTCATTCTCGAAAAGCCTTGTCCAACAAAGGCTTTCTTATATTCACTCTCTCGTTTACAGATTTCGCGGCTAGTCTGACCAATATACATTCCATCACAATCATAACAGTCATATCCAACCGATAAAAAAAGCGTCGAAAATTTGACGCTTTGTAGTGGGCGGTTTTTTCGGCACATATTGGATGCTTTTTTTGCTAGACGATTTTTTTTCTGAACGAATTTTTTCATTTGTGTTTTTTGTTAGACAAGAAAACAAACTTTGAAAAGATTTCCAAATAATATTTTACTCAGTTTTGAACACACTATACTTTGGAAGCACGCCTGACCTGCTGGACCGATCCACTATCGCCGGAAATCAGTCGTTTCTGGGATAAGCTAGTGCAGTGAAACGAGTCATCTATGCAGTATACACTTAAATACTATGCTTGGACGAATTTTTGTGGACTCATTATTGTTGACCCTTTTTTTAGCATACTTTTCGTGGACGTTTTCTAGTGGGCGCTTATGAATTCTTTTTTTTTTACTGTACATGGTCAGTCTTTTTGAACCTTTATTTTTCTATCTAAATATTGGGCTGAATGACGGTTACTGGATTTGAAGGCAAAAATCGCCTATTTCATCGAGTGTTTGATAATAGTTCGGAGTTCGTTAATTAAAGTCAATTTACGTATTTTATGATAAGGAACAGGAATAAACACTTTTTCACGCGTTTGTTAATAGCGTTGTTAATAATTTTTTTGTGTTAATTTACCTAAGTTTACACCTCTAATCACTTTACTTATCAACAAATTCAAAGAATCTTTCAAATATGAGTCAGCCTCTGACATTGCTAGTAATAATAAATTAGTCAAAGCTTTAGCCGTCTCGTGATTATAAGCACCATAACTAGAAATAATAATGGGCGAACCGGTAGATTACATTTGTCCACCTCAGGTAGGAAGTAAGCGTCTTTGGTGCATCTGCTTATAATAACAACAAGACTAAATATTTGATTAACTTATTGTTACCAGCAATGTCAGAGGCTGGTTCATATTTGAAAGATTCTTTTGAATTTGTCGATAGAATTAATTTAGAATTAAAATTAATTGTAAGACCTAGGGATCGGACAGTTCTAGTTCAGTTCTTTTGAACGGGAACTGCTACCAGCCTTTTCAAAAAATTAAAATTAAAATAAAACCGGTGAACCTATTTTCATTGGCTTTGTGCAGTGCGCCAGAGGTAGATAGTGTGTGTTTAGTCGACTAAACCAAGTCAATATAACTAGCTACAGCGAGGGAAAAAGAGAGTAAACAGATGAGAAAGAAGATCACAGAAGGAAGGACCGCCTACCTGTTGTTGAAAGGTTGAAGAAGAAGAAGAATGTCTACAGAGAGTATCATTTGTGTAGTAGGATGGGGTTATGAGAGTAAGAGCAGACGACGGAAACTTATTCAGAAATGGAAGAAGAAAGGTAGAAGTGAACATTTGTTGTTAACAAAAGAAAGTATAATAGAACTGAGAGAGCGCTTTATTCGTTTTCCTTATTTATTTTCTTCCGTTCTTATTAGAGTTTTAGAATTTTGTTAAATTTGAATGGTCCATAGAGAATTAGAAACAATGTCGATTGAGCATGGTATGTTTTCGTGTCAAAAATGAGCGATATATTTTTTTCTCAATACCATGAAAGAATATGAAAGACTGCTAGAAAATCCAGAAAGAAAGAATCTGAGAGACAAAAATTTAGGAAGAATTTGTTTCGAAGCGAAAATCCGGAAAAAATCTATGGAAAAAATCGGTAACATTTTATCTTCAAACAAAATTCGGTAAATACAAATCGTTTATTTTTTTCTGACGTGAAGTAGAGTATAGTCATTTTCCGGTAAAAACTACTGACAATTCCCCTCGTGCTAAGTAAAGAAAACGTCGATTTTTAGAGCATTTTGTTAAATTTATTCTTATTTAGCGTATTGTTTAACTGAAAAACTGCTGAAAGTTGCTTTTGTTTCGGCAGTTTTTCTCCCCGATGAAAACGGTCGAGTCTTCATCCACATAAAAATAAATAAAAACACTCTAAAAATCGTCGTTTTCTACCCTAACAGCAGCGTGATTTCAGTTATTTTTAAGTGAAAATAATTTATGTACTCTTCCTCAAGTAAATTCCTCAAGTAAGTAAGCAGCTTTGGACAGGGAACAAATCTGATCATCCCGCTGACTGCGTGAAAGAAATTTTCAACTTACTCAAACGGCAAACATTCTCGCAACAGTCGTCACGTTATCACCTTCATATATTATCTTCCCTTTTCTTGCTGGAAAAAAAGACGAGATAGGATGGGGTTTTTTTTTTTTACTTTCGTGACTCAAAGTACACTATGCATCGATGTTGGTATTTCCTGTGGATCAGCTGAAAGAAGAGTATATGAGATCAGTCAGTAAGATAGAGCATACTTCCATTCGTTAATCTAAAAGTCACTTCGTGTTCATTCTGGTAAGTTGAACCACTACTGTCGAAGTGTAATATTATTCTCGTTCTCGCTACCACTTATTATACAGCAAATATCCGTGCTATTTTTCGCAATGAGTGCACGTGGTCGTAGTGGTGATCGAAAAGAGGATAAAAAACCTGAAGAAAAATCGAAAAGTTTTGGCGCTCGAACTCATGATATTGGTCCCAGTGGTAAACCAAAGCTGCATTTCATTCAAGCCAAAGGTCCGGCAGATGCACGAGAGAGAGCAAGAGCAGCTAGTTCTGGTTCGTCAAACAGCGGCGGTCACATACCCTACAAAGATCCAGCTCATAAGCCAGGCCAACAAACTCACTATCATCCCACGGATGCGAAAGGCGAGAAAAAGGAAGGTGGTCTTCATTTTTTAACTGGAGATAAGAAAAATCCAAATTTGAAATAGACTAAACGTGATTTGTTATTTCTTCATCTCATCGTTAAAATAAACAAGAACGACTATATGCTTTACACTTACTTTGTTTCTTGTCATTTGAATAGTCATTTTTAGAGAGAAAAGTGTTGTCAAAATTCAAATGAAGAACAGAGCTAACATATTTATGGGGAAGCCGTTTGCCCTACGCTCACATAGAGTTCAGCACAGTGTACATCATCAAATAGGAGGGAGAGTGATAGGACTGAACGGACGGGCGTTGTCTCTACACCAATATTTCAAAACTCCTCGTATCTGGTGTAGGGCAACGCACCCTGAAAATGTCTATATGCTTATTGAAATCCTTCGTCTGTACATTCAAGTTCTTCTCCAGTGTCTCCATTCGATGTCTCAATATCTTCATTTTTCATCCAGTTTACTGAAAAGACGTGTTTACTATCCTTTTTTTCTTTTTCATTGTCGTTGAATAACTTTGCATAGGAATGGAAGTTTTCTAATCGCATCCTGGGTCTCAATGCGCCTTTTGATCTCCTCTTCAATTTAAGACCATTCCGAGGAATAATAGAGAAGTAAAAACCTAAGTCAACATCTATGAAACGAAAGAAAAAGGGACAATGTGTAGTGAGTGGCAATGGAAAAAACATTCGTCACTTTTCCTTAGCTGTAATGACAATGCTGTTAGAACTTCCCCTCTCGTTAAGACGCATGGTGAATCATTAATAAAACGCCCTTTCCAGAATCAAGTCGGCAGTACGCAGATTAAAAAAATGAGTGTGCCCCTGCTTATGAAACAACTGTCTGCGAGAAAATGAAGAATTTCTTAGCAAACTTGACGTAACATTCTAAACAGAAATGTACGTGATGTGTTTGTCGGAAAGCACGCACACACTCATTTTCTCATGAGATAACAGTTGAAGATAAGAGACAAACTTCTCTCTCCCATAGAGAGGCTCACTTATTCTTCATTTCTAAGCAGCACTAGACACAAATGAGCAGCCTCTGCAGTTTTTTCTTTTCTGCCACGTTAATCAGGTAGTAAGACCCACATTGTCATGTGCAAATATACATAAAAACGACTATACTCTCTTTTTTATAGGCGATCATTTATACTTAGCGCGGTCCTTGATGGCTTGACTTTAGTTGGACAAACAAACTAGCCTTAAAATGACCAAAACAATGCACACAGATCTTCTCACGATTCAGTAAGCTTGAAAATACATACTTCTAGGTGGCAAGAAAGAGAGAAATCAAAAGGGATCTGTGACTTAGCACTAATTCGTTCGCTTAAAAACTGGTGCACATGGAACTCTCTTTTGCGATTGAGGAAATAGCTACGTCCATCAATAAGACCCTTCAGATTGATGATAAAGTATTTTGTTCTCAATTTGCGAGACCTTATCAGGCACTTTTCTAACAATTGATTCATCAACAAAAACTTTACTCGTGTATTTTAGAGCTCCATTCCTTCCACGAGTAAACTTCTGTTGTCTTCGCAATATTGCAGCAGCGTGGCTACAGTGAAATTTTCTGAAACAGCCGTGGTTAACCTTCGGTGAGGCACACGTGCAAACGAAAGAAATACGGAGTAAGAACGCCGCGTAAAACATGTCTTTTTTTAGAACAAAGAACGGATCTGATTACATTGATCCTGTTTCAAGTGATACTGTGGCCAATATTTCGCCCTAGCAACAGATTAACCAAGCAACCTGTTCAGATTTATCTGTAAAAAAGAGAATTGAAAACCTTTCCGTTTCATTCAACATCCTAGTCGGTTATATACCTTTGTTCTATCAAGCAATTCGTTCATACTATTTTCGAAGTGCGTCTCAACTGTACTACCTCAAACTAAATTCAAGTCGCACACGAAAAGAATAGCAAAATGGTATTCTTGTGATATCACGATTCTAGCATGTACTGTTAGTAAAAACTGTCTTGAATAAATACCATGAAAGAATATGAAAGACTGCTAGAAAATCCAGAAAGAAAGAGTCTGAGAGACAAAAATTTAGGAAGAATTTGTTTCGAAGCGAAAATCCGGAAAAAATCTATGGAAAAAATCGGTAACATTTTATCTTCAAACAAAATTCGGTAAATACAAATCGTTTATTTTTTTCTGACGTGAAGTAGAGTATAGTCATTTTCCGGTAAAAACTACTGACAATTCCCCTCGTGCTAAGTAAAGAAAACGTCGATTTTTAGAGCATTTTGTTAAATTTATTCTTATTTAGCGTATTGTTTAACTGAAAAACTGCTGAAAGTTGCTTTTGTTTCGGCAGTTTTTCTCCCCGATGAAAACGGTCGAGTCTTCATCCACATAAAAATAAATAAAAACACTCTAAAAATCGTCGTTTTCTACCCTAACAGCAGCGTGATTTCAGTTATTTTTAAGTGAAAATAATTTATGTACTCTTCCTCAAGTAAATAAAAATGTGTCATTTTTACTTACCGAATTTTTTGAAAAAAGTTTTCTTTCCGGATTTTTATTTCCCAAAGTTTTTTCCTTCCCGCATTTTTGATCGTAATTATTTTTCACCGTAATTATTTCTTTCTGGAATTTTTCACTCACGAATTTTTGTTTCCCAAATTTTTGTTTTCGGATTTTGTGACATCCCCATATGGAAGACCATTTTTCATGCTTCCGTCTCTACCGTACCGTTTCCGAAGATACTCCTGGCCATCGAAAAACACACAAAACTGAACTCGTCGCAATTGTATTCGAAATTTGATGGTATTTGCAAAGCCTAAACGATATAATTTTCCTGATCATAATCCCCCCCCCCCTCCCGAGTATATTGGCTAAGATTATGGTGATGATGAATCCGGAAACAAATTAAAAAAAAACTGCAACAGAAAATCCGGAGACAGAATATTGTGAGTTGCAAAATTTGGAATAAAAAAATGCACAGAGGTCAAATATCCGGTAATGAAGAATTTGCAATTTTTTATTTGAGGTGGAGAACATCAACACTTCCATCGTTCATTTATCCATTCTTCGTCCATCACGGGGTTCTTTCGAAGTCATAGAAAAATCATATTCAGGCTGAATATTGCTCTCCAACAAATACGCTTTCTTTCCTTTCCCATACACCATTCGCGGCGGCAATGGAAAGGCGAACGCTTGCTCTCGCGCCAAGGGCGGCAACCTCCAATAATCATCTACCACTGGTGGCTCGTTTGTCCAAAGGAAGTACACAATCGAATCCGTCCACAGTATCAAGTGTACTATGACACTATTTCGTGTTGTTTCTTTCTGTGTGAAATTTTCTTTATTTCGCTGATAATTGACTCGTTTAGAAACAAATTCCTCTATATCAAAATCTTGCACATTTTTGAGTCACTGATTTTTAAATTTGGAGGAGGGAGACTTTTAAAGTTAATAGTTATTCTTTTTTCGCGATTCCAGATAGGTGTCGCATATGAAGTATTTGTCATGTCTATAAATATTCATGTCTTTATTCAAGACAGTTTTTACTAACAGTGCATGCTAGAATCGTGATATCACAAGAATATCATTTTGCTATTCTTTTCGTGTACGACTTGAATTCAGTTTGAGGTAGTAATTCAGTTTGATCCAAAACTTTTCTGCAGAAGAATTAAGAAGTTATACATCATTCGATGCAGTTTTTGCGCTAATTCCGAATATGTCACGTTTAAGCAATAAAAAGGTTTCTGAACCGAGATTTTTTTATCAATCCATAGAGGACTTGACAGAGATTAAGAACATATATTTGCTTGTTTGACCACTTAATTCAGTTTTCCGACAGTCCCTCTATTTTTAGCGTAATTTTTGTCTATATGATTTTCCCAACATAAGTGCGCCCTACGAAAAAAATTTCATCGAAGAGAGCGTGGCCCAAAGTATATAAATCACTATTTGAATCACCGAAAAGCGCACTTTCAATTTTTCACCAAAAGTCCGCCAGGATGCACACTGTGCGTTGTTTACTCGCTTTAGCATTTTGAGATTGTTGAGCATGAGCTTCGCTGTTGATAGTGTGATAAATACACTATTTTATCATTCTCTTTTCTGTTGGTTAAGAAAATGGTGAAAAAAATGTTAGAACGTCACAAGGCACAACCTAGTTAGACGTATAGAAAATTTAAAAAGATGGAGCACTAGAAAATCTTCAAGACCTCTTAAAATTGTAAACCGTAATATTTGCGTTCACTTCTAGAAGAGTATAGAAATACACACTCTTCCCAGACTGATACTTTGAATTATTAGATAGATTTGGAAATGTATCTTTTATTACTGAAGTATACTTGTAGGACTTACCAAAACAGAGAAGTAGAAGTTTAATTAATAAGCCTAAACACAGTCTAAATTCAGTGTAATTATAGTGTTGAATGTAGCCAAGAATCATAACAGATTACGATTTCGGCAGCGATAACGAAAACGTACTATTCGCATATTTATTCAACTTTGTCTTACATCAATAATTTATTTCCTTCAAAAACGAAATTTATAACCTTATCGAAGTCCTTCAATCAATCAGTCTCTTTTAGTCTACGACACCAAGGTCTAGCACACAATCATGTACAAACTCATTTGTACGTCTACTATAATAACAATCACTCGTGGTGTTCTTGTGCGGTAAACTTCATATTCAAATTAACACAATGAAACTTTCTTTTTCCTTTCCGCACAATAAAACATAGAGAGTTTCAATTTTCTGACTGAGCCCTAAAAAAACTTTTGCTGTTTCTTTCAGAAAAAAGATTATTTTTCTATTTCTTCCACCGTGTCAACCACATATAGTAAAAAATGAATATCATCACCACAACTACATCTTTTTCTTCTTACACTTCTCTACATTTTAGTTGTTCTGAGATGGCTAAACTAACTGCAGAACGCTAGAAAAACCGTCCAGAAATACCTCAATTAAATAACGACCAATACGAAGTTAGTAAAGACAGAGCTCGTAAACATATTGACGTAAACTGTACACATCTAGAGACTAAGACTCCGAATGAGCAAAGATTGTAACGACTCAATGATACACATCTCCATA